AAAAAAAAAAAAAAAAAAAAAAAAAAGATAGCTCTGTCTTTAGAGCTGAAATAAATTCTAATCTGGAAGTCAGAATGGCCTAGAACAGATGCCTTTTTTCAATTCCACATGAATGGAGACTTTAGGCTGAGTTCCACCTCCTTAAAAAAAGAAAGCAGGGATGTGTATGGACTCAGTCAAGGGTGGAGAAGTAAAGCTGGTAGTGACTCACTTCAGTTTTTGGAAGGAGGCGGATTAAGCTTCCACCCCCACAAGACTGATGCTGGGAACTCCCACTTTGGAAGATGAGGCAGCTCTTGACTTGAAAGCAGTCTGCAGTAGCGTCCCACCCTAGAAAAGAAGTTAAATTCATTGTTAGACTTGAGACCGTGCAACTAAAATGTAAGAAATACAAGTGTCCAGTATACTCAAAAGCCTTAAAAATGCACATTTTGTCCAGTGACCAACTTCAAATTTATAACTCTGCCTTTAGGAAGTTACTAAGCATGTGTGCAAAGATTAAACTGCTAGGCAGATCATCCAAACTGTGTTTGTCATACAGAAATAGAAAAGCAACCTAAGTGTCCAACAGTAAGACTTTAATTACATAAATACATCCATATATTTTTCATATTTAAAATAATGTTATAGATACATATTTATTAATGTGATAAGTTGGCTAAAATATATTAAGGACAAACACAGGTGACCAGCCATTATGTACTTGATTATCCCCTTTCAGTAAAATAAAAACGTGTGAGTATATGCGTATGGTTTTAAAAGCTTTAAAAGGGTTTCTGGTTCAAGGTGATGGATTGACTGCATGCATTTAACTTCCCCTTGCTCTCTAAATCTCACCAACATGGTATAAAAATACACACACATACAGTCACAAAGAACAGTTTGTATAAAAGTACGAAAAGAAACTCTGCCTGACTTTACACCCCATCCCAAATCTGGGTCTTGCTGCCATATCTAGAAATGGGAAGAATGCTGACAAAAGAACAAGAAAAGGAGATTTTGACTTTTTGTTTTTATACTATCTGTACTATTTGATGTTTTTCATTAGTACTGTGTATTTTTGTAACTTTAAAATTATTGAAGGCTAGATTTAAAAGTGGTAATACAGAAGCATCACAGCACTTTGCATTTAGCTTTTATAGGGTTCACCTAAATTTGGGAAGAGTGGAGGGCAAATGAGAAAGAATAAAGGAAAGAGAAAGGGGGAGAGAGAGGAAGAAGGAAAGTGTAAGAGATCATTTTTTTTTTTTTTTTTT